TATTTAGAAACCATTGTTAGTGTGGTTCTTTTAACTGTTATTTTTATTAGAATTCAGTTTAAGTTTAACAGATCGTTTCAGTTCTTTAACAGATTGTTTTCCAATATAATCGTCAAGATATGTGCGGCTATATATATAAGTACATATATATTTATATAAAAAGCATACCTATCAATATCGGCATCAAAAATCTGATTAATGCCAGCAATGTAAGTGTTTGCAAGAATTATAGCTATTAGGCCCGGTAATGCCTGCAACAACAGAGACCATTTGAACAAGTGTTTGTTCTCGACCATTACTCTTGCAAACATACATCTGCTCAAAAAAAAAAAGTACATAGAGTTATATAAACTAATATGCGCAATTAGATCATTTCTTGTATTGAAAAATCAGTTTTTTTTTTCCTCCTTTAAATTTGTGTAAAAGCTTACTTACATGGATGATATAGATACTTGAATCATTGTATAGGGTCTTGAGAATTTATAAAAAACAGATCCAAAACGTAAAATTTTGGCAACCAAATTTGGACCAGCTGATTTAGTTTGATCTTTGTCGAGGACGGGGTCTGAACCTTCAGATTCAAGTTGAGCGCATGCCTAAAACCATAATTAGTTCAACTTATAAGTACTTTAATTGAACGAAATTTGAAAAACTAACAAATGTAATCAAAATCACAACACTAACTATAGACTTTTGACTAAGGATAAATACTCAAATGGTTCTGCAAGCAAGCCTCCAACAACAGTACATACTCTATTATTTGAAACATATGTGGGTCCCATGTATTATACATAGATATATGTATACCGATATATATGTATAGTCAAAAGTTTGTACGTATATACCATTTCGCATTTGTGCGTGTCATTAATCCTTATGCAAAAGGCGTTTTTTAGAGGTAAATGTGACAATTTCATTTAAAGGTCACCAAAGGATTAAAATACATTACTGTACTAAAGCTATAGAAACGGGTGACACTCACAAGACTAGACATTAGAAACGCACCCTTAATCCAATAATAGGGAGGAAACCTCCCAAAAGTGTCTCTATAACATTTGGCCATAGAAAATCGACAACCATATTCTAATCTTATAATGGACCTCACACATACACACATACCTCAGACTAACAGCGGTGGGGAAGCCATATACACACTTTAGTTTGAAGTTGATGAAAAATCTTTCTAATTTTATCCCATGAGTAAAAAATAAAATTGTTTTAAGGGATCCCACATTTACTTCATTATGGATGAAAAATGCAACTAAACAATTTTTCATTAATGCAAAAGGATGTTTGGTGGTTCACACAATTTGTATCATTTTCATTACTAGAAAGTCAGCAATTAAGCGTGTACTAACTTACTAATATGCAATTAAAGAAATAAAATAAAATATACCTGACTATAATTACGGTTACGTTGGCCAAATAATAAGGATTTTGAGAACCTGTTCTCCCCATAGAGCCCTATCGGCTGGTTCAATTTATTGGTGGCGCATTTTGAAGGGAAGTTGGATGATTTGGTACTTAATTTTGTTGTAGGTTTAATTGGAATTAACCTATTCACATAAGAGGAGGCCTTACAACAGCTAGATATAAAAGGTGGTACTTTAAGGGAAGAGTACTGGGTGATTGTGAGCTCCATGTATGGTAAATGAAACAACCAAGGAAAAATAATAAAAAGGACAAGCAAACGAGAAAGTGTTGAAAACAAATGCTTCAAGAGCTTCCAAATTTATAGAAGAATGCCATTGGAAAGTCTACTTGTCATGTTACTGTAAATTTGACTAGCTATTCTTTTATGATTATTATAACGGAAAAGTCGTCAAAACATTTTTTTTTTTCATCTGAATATAATGATATTTTAAACGAGATAGGTATGAAGTAACCCTCACAATACAACGGCAAGAAAAATATATTTAAGTTTTAATTAGGAAGCCATTGTCATTTATATCTCTATTATCTATTATAAGAAGCGCGGATGGCATTAAATTTTTCGTACTTCAACTGTCAGCTTTGTTGTTTTCAGGTTTATCTCTTTTTTTTTCTTTCAAGTTTTTTTTTTTTTAATTTACTTTGCTTACTTGCTCTAAACCTTTTTTTAAATTGTATATTTCAACCGTTTTTTTTCCTTTCCATTGTCCTTAATTGTTCTTTAAATGTTGTTCTTTTTTCTTCTTCTTCTTTCAATCTTTTATATTTCATTGTTTCCCATTAAAATATTTTTTTATTAATTTTCTCTTTAAACACCTTCTTGTTTTTTCTTACTTTCATAAATATTTTCACTTGTTTTGCTTGCCTCCTTGCTTTCAAGCACTTGTTTTTTTCTTTTTTAACTTTGCCTGCTTGCTTTCATGTTTTTTTTAATTGAATTTTTCAGCTTTTTTCCTCTCCATTTTCTTTAATTGTATTTAAAATATTGTTCATTTTATTCTTCTTTTTTAAATCTTGCATTTTTCACTTTTTCCTGTTAAAATGATTTTTTCATTTATTTTCTCTTTAACTACCTCAATTATTTCACTTGTGAATATTCTCCAATACTATATATCTATATTTATAGTAGAGAAGATGTATATATACTTTCTTTTTTCAATCATCATTATGTCTAATATAAAATTTTTGATTTTCATAGAACCATAATTAATTTTATTTAGGTTAAAATTAAAAACTTTCTAATAATTTAGAAAGTTATTGGAAAAATTTTTATGATTACCATTTTTTAGTTTGAAAATAATTATAAGTTGGATATATTTATTTATGTTTGTCATTATTACAACATTGTTTGCATCCCTTAAAAAACATGGTTAGCATTGATTTAAAAAAGAATAAGTCGAATTATTAACATATTTATTTATTACTTTTTATAGATGTAATGAAAAAAACGTGTTTGTATTGAAACATTACTTATCATATTTAATAATTTTAAATAAATTTTTAATAAACTGCAAATTGTAAAGTGAAAAAAAAGGCTAATAACGGGACGTGTCTCAAGCTAGTTATTGTTAAGAAAAAAGAATAGTCATAGATAAAATAAATAGCCTGAAAGGGACATATTCAAGAAAAAAATAATAGTGATAGTAACATATTAGGAAAAAGGGTATCTTGAGAAAACAGTAATTGAATGGGTTGTGTAAAAATGATGTTTAAACGAGACATACTTGAAAAAAGAAGTGTTTTAGTAAGCCAATTAACCCAAATAATTTTGTGAATATTTGGACTTTTATACTAGAACCCGTAGTCCTCTAAATTTTACAAATGGTTATGAAAATCGTTGGCAATCATTATTATAATATGAACTCATGCGTAGCTTGTTATCAATATGAATTTGACTCAGTCTGACGACTACATGTAAGGAAAAGTCGTGTTTTTAGTCAACATCTTAGAATTCACGGTGGTTGATAATTGATGGCGTAACGCATTAATTTACGACAAGGCTATGGCCTTAGTGCCCACTAATTACTCTCAACTGGAAAAAAATATCGTCTCGGGATTTTTCGCTTTCCCTTAATATCTATTTTTCTCTGATTGGTCCACTTGTATTTGACTAATTCGTTGTACATAACTATATTAATTAAAACCCTAATCTCTGAATCTTTGGTTGAGTAGAGCTTTTACCAAATTCCAACGTATTGTCTTCTTCACTAAATTTCTACAAACACCATAGCTGCATATTTACTTTCTGTTATGAATTTCCTCAAATTTGTCCCTCTTTAATTGGCATTTGGCCTTCAGTAAACTTACTTCTAAGAATGATATATATTAGTAATGTTTTAATTAAAAAATTTTAATTTTTAATTAAATTTATTATGAACACATTTCTCTTATTATTCTTACATGTGATTCTCTTTGCATATAACACTTATATACTATTTAATAGCCCCTTAATTAATCGTGCAATTTTTTAATGATACTCATAAATATTCACTAATACTTGCACATAAAAAAATAAAAATTCTCTTTATTAAATAAATAAAAGATATTCAATTACCTTTCATGTTCTAAAGATACCTTACAAGTTGCATTTGTGGGCACAATCTTAAAAGATCGATCAGCCGGGACTTGTATAGTAACTGCTCTATTAAATTTATTATTTCTATTTTTTAAAGGTACGAATTATTTAGACATAATTTAATATTCATAGCCACATGAGTACTTTGTTGAAAATTAATTAAACAATTTAAAATTCTAGTGCACAAGCCAATTAAAAAAGATTAATGGTCAAGTCGAATCCGTTGGTACGTTGGAAACTCCATCTGATTTCTCATTTTAATTACTATTGTCGCTTCCATTATTAGATTAATTGTCATGATGGTTCATGCATGCCTTCTATAATTATTTAATGGTCCTTTCCGTTTATTCTAGAAAGTGTCCGCACACAAGTTTAACAAGTTTCAAGGAGTAGACAAGAAAGATTCGCAGTTTCTAAGGAACGAGGATTGTTAATTTAAATTAATATTTTATAGAGTATCGCTAAACGTTTTTAAAAAAAAATTAAATTATACATGATCTAAACCAATTCACTTGCGCATTATTTTTATCTAAAATCGTTTTGGAATCCAACACAATGGTATAAAGATCGAGAATAACATTGAAGATCATTTGGTTAAGATTCATCAATATGAAAGTCATGTTAGAAGTGTTGGTTTTGGTCTGCAAGAGATAATGATTATTAGATTTAATTTATGGGAAAAAAGATAAATACTTTTTGGAGTGTATGCGTATGGATTTTTACCCTTTACTGTTGATTAATATCCTTTTTAGTGAAATAATTAATTAGTCAAAAAGATATTTTTCAAGAGTAAGGTGTAAAAATCAAGACCCATACACAGATAAATTCACCAATTTTTTCTTAATTTATTATGCATAGCAACAAGAGTTTTAATTTTTGCTTTTTTAAAATTTCACTTGTGCCACCCAATTGATTTTAACAACTGATAGTTGCCTCCTCTAGGCTCAAGGCAGCTATGCCCCTAAGAGGCTTCAACTGCAGGAAGCGATAGGGGATGGCGAAGGTAGCGTTAAGCCTTGATGATGGGAAAGGGGACGACGACAAGGAAGAAGGAGAGAAAAAGAAGGGAAAAAAGATAGAGAAAAATAGAAGAGCTCTCCGTAGGCCTGGAAAATTAAGTTATCAGACTCTGTATATCACTAGAACAAATATAAACTTTAACCACGGTTTAAAACCGTCATTAAAAGATTAGACGATGGTTTCACAACTTATTATATTATCGACAGTCATTAAATGGCAACAACATTTAACGACGGTTTATAAACGTCATTAAAACTATTTAAAAATATCATCTTATGTCATCATGTTGTTATTACGCATATCTTAACTTTAAACGATGGTTTTTGAGTAAAACATTTTTGCTATACTAAATGCATCATATTTAAATTTTATAATAAGACGACATATTTCAATAAAATGTCGTGGAAAAGTCAAAGATATGAATGCTTTATGACATTAAGAGAAAATGTCATAAAATTTAGTTTTATTGACTATAATACAATGTCACGGAAAACATTTAGTTCTATTTTGTTATAATATTAAAACTATTTATTAGGATATTAAATGTACAAAAAAAATAAAATTATTAAAAATAAAATCTGTAGATCACCCATAAAATCGAATTCAAACTTGAGTTAAAAAAAAATAAAAAATCGCTTAGTAAGAGCACCATTGCTACTCAAGTTGGGCTATAAAAAATGGTAGAATACAATAGAAAAAGATGCGTGATGGAGGCCTATACTTCTGGAGTAGTGAGGCTAATCTTAGATATGTCTAGTATCCAAACAAGACTATTATTACCATATAAACCTCCAAAAGCAAGAATCAAAAGGCCTTTGGGAGTACAGACACAAAAATAAAAAGCAGGCACATGTAGCTGCAAAAAATCAAACTTTTGCCTTTGTTGTTGATCTCATCCTGAAGAAGCTATATGACCTTGTTCACCCTATCTTTCAATTTTTTTTGCAAACATTGCCCTAAACACTAACTGGACGTTTGGTTCACAGATTTAGAACCATAATTCAAAATCATTCTCGATTTACGTGTATTTTTTGTGAGAAAAAATACTATAACAAGTCACGAATTATGATTCGAATTATGACGTGAATTCTCATACCAAACACAGTCTAAAAGATTTCGAAGTTTGGAAGAGCATTTAACCACACCATTCAATCATTCAAGAAATACATTTTAGAAGAATAACCTTACAAACTGTAACATCATAAGCATACTCAGCTCGAAAAATAAAATCACTAAACAAACCAAATTTAAAGGTGTGCCCTTGCGGGAAAAACTGCAATCCCAACATATATAACACATAAATTAAGAAAACCGTCCTAAAAAAATAATAATTAAGAAAACTGAAAGACTTGTTAGTACATATTGCCTAGAACTGTACAAAAAAACCATAAAATCGAAACCGACCGCAACTGACTGAAGAACCGACCGCTCAAAACCGAAAATGATGGTGCCACATGGAACCGAACACAATCGGTTCGGTTAACCGACCGATTCTCTAGATATTCAGTTCGGTTTTGATTTTGGTGTGTGCAAATTCGGTTAAAACCGAACCGACCAAGGATTTATTTTTAATGTTTTCATTTTGTTTTTTTTTTAAACTTATGTTGTCGTTTTTAGTTTGGAATGTCATTTTTAGTTTTACAAGTCACAAAACTGAAAAAACCCACCCTCTTTCTCTCAGTCTCTCTCTGCCTCTCTCTGTCTCTCACTCTCTCACCCAGATAGACACCCACGCCCACGACCACCCACCCTCACGCCTCACCTCTCTCACTCTCACCCACCCTCATGGAAGCCCCAGCCGCCGCCTCTCTCCTCAGTCGTCCTCACTCGCACATCCGCCTCCGGCCTCCGGCTCTCTCACTCTCTCTGCCGCTCTAACTCTCACGGTGAAAGAAGCCCTAGCCGCCGCTCTGCCGATCTCCTCAGTCCTCCTCGGGCTCGCACGTCCGCCTCCGCCAAGCTCCGCCGAGGTTTGGCTTTTGTTTCTCCACTTTCTATTTCCATCAAGCTTGGTCGATTGGATTTCTTGCGTTTGATTTTGATATATTATATATATATATATATGTATGCGGTATGCCACAGAATTTGTGGAAGGAAATATATTGAATCAGTTATTAATATTGAACCTGAGTTTTTGGTCGATTGGATTTCTTGCGTTTGATTTTGATATATTATATATATATATATGTATGCGGTATGCCACAAAATTTGTGGAAGGAAATATATTTAATCAGTTATTGTTATTGATATTGAACCTGGGTTTTTGGTCGATTGGATTTCTTGCGTTTGATTTTGATATATTATATATATATATATATATATATATGCGGGTATGCCACAGAATTTGTGGAAGGAAATATATTGAATCAGTTATTGATATTGTACTTGGGCATGTGAAGAAACCCATGGTTGTTTTTATATACTTGTAGTGTTTTGCCTTGGCATGTAAGTCGTGTATTTTTTTTTTTTTTTTTTGGGGTCTAGGAATTAAAGAAATGGCTAACAACTGGGTAGCTGATCCATCCCTTTCTCTCTCTCTGTTCCTCTTTCTTTCCATCTGTATTTCTCTCTCTCTAGATATATATATCTCGGATATGTATGTATTGTAATGTCATTGTAATGTATAGTCTACTGAATTCCTACACAGTTTTGTAAAATCACAAGTCAATGTTGTTGCTGACCATTCTCTGACCATAATTCTGATATGTACTGCCTCTCTTATCTCCTTTAGAAATTTATTAACCGCCTCCTTATATCTCATTCAATTGTGCTTCATTTATTTACCTCCTTGGTTGAAGAATCATATATTGCCCATGTTATACTATAGTATATCACATGGATTCTTTTATGGTGCCGAAAGAAGAATTCTTAACATTAATATCGAGAATATGATAATTTACGTATTTTATATCTGAATTTGTGAACTCAGAGAATTAGTAAGCCATGATAGGCATGTGAATTTTAAGGGATCATTAACATCAACAAGAAAGCATGTTGTTTGTCATTTTTTAACTGTTAGCTTAATTCTTATAGATGTCTTCATCGAAAAAGCAAAAAGAGATAGAGTCTCAATCTAGTCAAAAAGAAACCGAAACTACTGAAACACAAGAGACAACTAAGGAAGAAGGGGAATGTACTAAGAAAAGGAAGAAAGCCCGACAAGTAAGCCCAGTTTGGCTGCATTTCACGAGGGACGAAAAAACCAAGAGGGCTACTTGCAAGCATTGTGGTGTCACTTATGCCGCTGATTCGAAAAAGAATGGCACGTCTATAATGAAAAGTCATATAGAAAGTTGCTTGATGAATCCAGAGAGTGAAAACAAACAAAAGACCATCCAATTTAGTAGAAAGATCGGAGCACATGAAGAGGACACTGCTACTAGTACTATGACACTAAGAGCTTGGTCCAAAGAGGGTTATAAGAGAGCCGTTTCGGAGTATATCGTATTGGATGAGTTACCATTCCGACACGTGGAAGGTAAAGGGTTTAAGCGCTATTCGGCGTACTTGAATCCTAGAGTGTTTGACATTTCAAGGATAATAATTGCGAGTGATGTTTATCAAATGTTTTTAGAGGAGAAAAAGAAGTTGAAGAAGGTTTTAGGAAAGCAACGGGTGTGTTTGACGACTGATACTTAGACATCAATTCAGAACATCAATTACATGTGTTTGACCGCACATTGGATCGATGAAGATTGGAATATGCAGAAAATGATCATTAATTTCATCCAAGTTCCGAATCATAAAGGAGAGACAGTTGCACAAGAGATTTTAGTTTGCCTTAATAATTGGGGCATAACTACATTGTTCACAGTTACAGTGGACAATGCAACGTCCAATGATGTGGCTATGGACATGTTGAAGAGAAAAGTCAAAGATATTCCTAATTTTCTCGTCTTAGATGGCCAGATGAAACATATGCGGTGTGTCTGTCACATTCTAAACTTGATTGTTAATGATGGGCTCACGGACTTAGCATATTCTATTGCAAGCATCCGCAATGCAGTTAGGTATGTGAGGTCCTCACCTCAACACCTCAAAAAGTTTAAGGAGTGCATGAAGGAAGAAAACATCAACTTAACTGCCCTATTGTGTTTGGATGTGAAGACGAGGTGGAACTCTACCTACCTAATGTTGGAGACTTCTTTCGAGTTTGTCCCCATTTTTGAGAGGTTGCTTTTGGATCAAAACAATTGTGCTTACTTTGATGAAGTTATAAAAGACAAAAAGATGGAGGGTCCACCAAATGAGACGGATTGGGACAATGCACGGGTTTTTTTTTAGGTTTTTAGGTAAGTTTTACAATTTGACGAAGAAGTTTAGTGGTTCATATTATGCACTTCAAACTTCTATTTCAAAGATATTTGTGCTGTCAAACGAGAGTTGATTAAGTTAGAGGAGTGTGATGATCCTATGTTTAATGAAATGGAAACGATGATGAATAAGAAATTTGATAAGTATTGGGGAAATGTCGAGAAAATGAATCACATGATGTTTCTTGGCTTGGTTCTTGATCCAAGATATAAGTTGGATTATCTTGTTCTTGCCTTCAAGTGTATCTACAATGATTCGACATCTGTCACGTTGTTAAAAGGGGTTGAGGACACATTGCGTAGATTGTACAAGGAATATCATGATCGGGCTCCTCCTCCACCTTTGGCTCCCTCGTCGCCCCCCCCCCCTAATTCTACTATTAAGCAACCACAATTATCACAGTTGGCCAAACCTCGATTTAGGAATACAAGGTCAGCTCACTCAGTAGAAACTTATTCTGGTTGTAATTCAAGTCCTTCAACAATTACGGCATCTAGTGAGCCCGCCTCAATGCCGGTTATTGATGATGAGATAGAGGCCATGTTTAGAAAGCAAAAGATGAGTGGGAATGGTGCAAATGTGTAGAAGAATGATGTGGATAAGTATTTATCTGAGCAATGCGAAGAGCTAGTGGATGACAGTTTTGACATCCTAGGTTGGTGGAAAGTAAATGCTCCTAGGTATAAGGTCTTGTCCCAAATAGCTAGAGATGTGCTTGCAGTTCTGGTTTCGACGGTTGCATCTGAATCAGCTTTTTCTACATGTCGTCGTATTCTTGATCCTCTTAGGAGTTCATTGGCTCCCAGGATGGTGGAAGCACTTATTTGCTTAAAAAGTTGGTTGAACGCGAAGGATGAAGAATATGAACCCGTGGTTCTTAGGCAATATATGGATGAGGTTGAATCTTTTGCAGATTGCTATCATGTTGTCTCGAGTAATGCTAATCATGATTGTACATACTACACATACTTGATATAATTATATCTTTTTTATTCATTTCATGACATATGTAAATTAATTTATAATTTTCTTGTAAATGATGTTGAGGTTGTTATTGCCTAGTACCTAGTGCAACGTCAACAAACATTTTCTAAGAAGTAAAAAAGTTAAATCACTTTAAACGACAGATATGTAAGAACAACTACTATAAAAATAAAAATCTTCATCAGTAAAATGTAAAAATAAACCTGAATAGGAATTGACGATTGAGATTGGAGCCTCTACGATCCATATCTATGACCTCAAGCTCCCTAAACCAGGTAAAGCCAACTCCTTAAGCAGTCCACCAAATCTTTTACATACTCTTTAAGGTTTCTAAATAAAACCCAGAACCAGAATTGCACAAAAATGAATTTCGGACGACGAATTTCGTGAAGAAATGAATTTGGATTGAAATCCAGAGAGAGAGAGAGAGAGAAACCGATCGAATATAGACTAGTGATATTTCACCCGTTTGTATAATATTAACCCATTAGACGACCGTTTTTCAAAATCGCTCGTTGAATGGAAATGATTTGGCGACGGTTAATCCGGGTTACGAAATTAGTATCTTACGATCTCCTACAAACTTAAAGAAGTTTCGTCCCCAAAACTTAAAACAAAGCCGGGTACTTCTTGCGCATTTCATCTTCAGGTTTTCATGTAGCCCCTTCCACTTCATGATTGCGCAATAAAACCTTCACTAATGAAATTCTCTTGTTGCGCCATTTTTGCAATATTGACGCGTGAAATACGTTACGTATACTAAGTGCTAGTTTGTAAGCAATTTCGCCGACTCGTTCGAGAATTTCAAAAGGTCCAACATAACAGGGGCTCAACTTCTCTTTCTTTCCAAATCACACTATTCCCTTCATTGGCGCGACTCACACAAAAGCTATAATCACCCACTTGGAATTCTAGTGGTCGTCGTCACACATCCGCACAGCTTTTCTGACGATCTTGAGCAGCTTTCATTCGTTGTTGAATAAGTCTTGTCTTTTCTGCTGCTTCATCTATCTTTTTTGGGCTAAAATATTTCCTTTCTCCGACCCCATACCAATATAGTGGTGATCTGCATCTACAAATATAAATCTAAAGAATATAGAAAAATATATGCATTTAAATATAAGAATAACTCTATTTTCATATAATTTTCAATATATATTCACCACCAGGTGGAGATTTGTGAAGTATTGCCTCTAATTGTTTTAAGTTGGATGGCAATTATTTCAGTTAATTAGTTAGAGGAGCCAAGTCAGACAACTGCAGCCTTTAATTTGGTTTATGTGACTAATTGGTCCACGTGTAATGTTGAGATTGGTCTGGGTTGGTCTGGGTTGTGTTATTTAGGGCTCGTTTAGTTCGCTGATTTGAGTTTTTAATTCGAGTTGAGATTAGACTTTATGTGAGAGCTTTTTACTGTAATAAAACTCGAATTTTAAACTCAAATCGGTGAAATGAACAGGTGCAGTGTAAAGTCTAAGTAACTAATTCTGTTTTTGCTTGAAGAGTGCTCTGATATTTGTGAGAAGGGATTTAGAGAGAAAACGGTAAGCTTGTTTTCTGGTTTCTTTTACTGGGTTTGAGGGTGTGTTTGTTTCTCGAGAAAATCTTTGTATTGTGAGCGGTGTGAAATTCTCTTTTGAGAGTACTACTGAGGGTGTAATCAGCATCGAATAGTGGATTTGGCTGGGTTAATTAGAGAAACCCCCCTTGGATGCAGGATTGAAAAATCCGAACCAAGTAAATTTGTGTGTTTCCCCTTCTTCTTCTCATCTTCTTAAATTTTTACGCTTCTAAGATCGTGAATTAAAGATTTGGAGAGTAAATCCTCAAAATATCAATATCTCTATCTTGGAGTCCCCGCTTCGATAGCCAAGATAGCTATCTCTCCCTTTAAATGTAATGCCCATTAAAATCTTATCAGAAACAAAGTAGTGTCCGTTTTTATTCCATAAATTGCAGACCATTCATTTAAAATATTATCTTACAAGCATATCTTTCTGCATATAATCCCTATATATACATGATTTAAAGATTTAGCATCAATAGTTTTGGTACTTTAGTTTGCTTGTCATAAAATAAACCATAATGAAAGTATATAGGACACACTAATAAGTAATAACTACGAAGATATCTTTATCTTTATTGATTTAAAATGTCAAAAATACATCAAATGTATATAATTCTTAAAGGCACCAGATCAAACAGGTTTAACTATGAACTAAGAGAGTTACAAGTGAGCTCGTGCCAAGAATAAGACTTAGAGCTCCCCTGTAGCGTTAGCCCTATGTTTATAGTATACATAAATCTGTTGTTTCTGATTTACTCGTATAGATAATTCATAATCATCTCAAATTTCGTTTTTTTCGATTGTTGCCTGGTTCCATCGTGATCTCCTTATTGACGTTCGCTTATTTGAATTAGAGATATGCAAACTGCTTAATCTCAATCCAAAATTTTACATGATTTCAAATATGGGGCGTGGTTTTATCTTTTAGCCAGCTCGGATATTGGCGTAAAACCGAAAAGTCCACGTGTCACAATGTTGCCCGATCTTATCTGTGGTTGAGTATAAGACCATGTTCATTTCACCGATTTGAATTTTCAATTTTAGTTTTGCTATAGTTAAAAGTTCTCTCAAAAAGTCGCATCTAATATTTTCTACTACAGTTAAAAGCTCTCACATAAAGTCACATCTCAACTCGAATTGAAAATTCGAATCAACGAACTGAACGAGGCCTAAATTTTTACCCACTTTCAACTTCATCACTGAAAGGTGTAGAAACATGTTGCTCGGTGAGCTATCAACCATTCTCAAAGCATCGTCAAAAAAGTAATACTCGTACGTGATCTATCCATTTCAATTCCTTTCTCTTGGCAAACAAGCAAGTTATAATTGACAATTATCTCATATATAATTTTACCAAGTCATGCATATATATCCACCATCTCTATATTCGCAAAATGTTTCTATAGGAAATTTCCTCGAAAGAAGCACAACGCATACAAATAGGAGGGAAACTATTTGAAGTCATAATGGTATCATCCATCTAATTAAGGACAAAAATCGCAGGTGAAGGCCGCTTTATCATTTGTGTTGTAGGCATCTGGATGACACTAAAATTGAACAAAAGATATTTTATGTAAATACAGCCACAATTTTTAAATAAATTTGAAAGATTTGAACATATATACGATCTTGCAAATTATGTTGAAATATTGTAAAAAAATTTAAAATATTTGCAAATAATAAAAATTAAAATCATTATAATAATTATTATATAATTTTATAACAAAAAAGGCAACAATATAATGATTATACTAATCCTAAAGTATTCTAAGAGATTGCTTTAGTTCAATACCACTCTAATAGACAAAATAGATTTTCATTTTTGCATAAAAGAGAATTCTTTTTAAAGTTCTCATGTTAAAAAAGAAAAATGAGAGACACTGATTCTAAACATTACTATTAATAAAAGGTAGGTCCGTTAAGCCGCATGTTACAGAATTTATCTGTTAGTCAGTCCCTATAACATTGTTCATAAAAGACATTTACGGTATCATACTAATATATTGGCAGTTGCCCACTAAGGACTGACTGTATCCTATTAGGCTAGAGAAAGTGATGCCGACCTTGGGCTTAATTGGGATTGTGGATTTTCACAGTAGTTGTCGTTTTTGTTTCTTTACTTTAATGTCGTTTTGATAGAATGTCGTTTTTAATTAATAGGTGCGTTTGAAACTGTTTTTTGAGCAATTTTTAAAAACGTTTCACATGTCTTTTGAGGCATAAAAATGAAAAGAGTCTACAAACCTCATTTGTTTAGTAAATGTTTTGAAAACGAAAATGAAAACAAAAAACAATGAGAATGATTTTCGTGAATGAAGTAGAAAAAAATTTAAAATTATTTTTTCGTTTTCATTTTCATTTTCTAGTACTTATCGACAATGTTATCTTAAATAATTAGTAATTATTAATAATAACTAATAAATAGAAAGTAATTACTTAATTATTCATTAAATATTAATTTTTTATTATTATATATTTGATTTATTAATAAAATAATAAATAATAAATAGTAATTAATTATTTAGTTGAAGATTAATTGCCAAAATTTGATTATATAGTATATTAATAATAGAATAATTAATAATGAGTTATTAAATAAATAACTAATTATCAATAAATCAATCATATATTATATCAATTATAATCTATTAATTATTAAATAGTTGATAAATAAAAAAACAAACAGTAATTACTCAATTAATAATAAATATTAAATTAATTATTAGTTATGTAATATACTAATCAATAGTAATTAATAATTGATAGTAAGTAATTAATAATTATTTAAATAATTACTACCAAAAATTGATCATTTAATATATCAATAGAGTATTAAATAAAAATTAGTAATTAATTAAATAATTATTTAATTATGTGACTAAAAGTTAAATATTTAATTAGTAAATAGAATATTAATAAATTATTTATATACTAATTATTTATTAGTAATATGCTAATTAATTACTTATAAAGTAGTAAATATGAGTCCGTTACCAATATAGTAATTACATATAATCAACTATTAATTACAATCTTTTAATTATTTAGCATACTAATATATTATGTATGTAGTTTAATTACTAATGTACTAATTAATGATAATATCCATTATTATTATTATTATATTACTAATATATTTATTTTTATTTGTTAAGTGATTATTAATTACTTAATATATTAATTTAAGATTTTTAATTACATGTACTCAAAATAAAATTTCATAAATATAATCAAATAAGATTTCACATTTTCATTATATTCAAAATAATCTCTTAAAAGACCAACAAAATTTAATTTCAGAATCGGCCCTATAATGATTTTTAAGACAATCTCATTTTCACTTTTATGCTGAAAACAAAATCATTTTGAAAACATTACCAAACGAATCCAATGTGTTGTGTTGTTTTTCCATTTTGTGATTTGTATT